TGAGTCTCCAATCTATCCATTCCATGCTGAAGCAACTCCACCTGCGACTTAAGCAAGCCTAGGGATTTCCAGACGAAGGATTTGAAGGTCGCATAATCGGCGGCCAATGTCTTCACTGTAGTACTGGACGACGAACCTGGCTGCTGGCCTTTGGCTTTTTCAAAGTCCTCCATTCTGTTGCTGAACATAACTGCCAGTTCATTAATACTTTTCATCAGTTGCTCTGCTGTAGTGTCCATGATGAAGCAAATGTGATGAGTGTTTGTGAGAAAGTGTATTAACGGTCAACCAAACTGCAGGTTAGTTTAAATTTTAATACATATGTAAAATACTAAAAAATTGAATTAAATAAAAGGAGCACAAAAAATTACGACTGTTATGTATTGGGTCTACCCACCCTCTATAATATTAGCTGTGGTCCTCAGTTTGGTTGCTAAGCCTTTGTGCAAGGCTGGGAATCTCCGTTTTAATACTCCAAACAATCTCTCCACAGAATTCCTCGTCTTTATTTGGGCCTTATTATACCTTTCTTCAGCAGCTGTTGTAGGATTAGACACTGGAGTAAGTAGGTGCCTTGTGCATGAATAACCAGCATCTGCAACTAACATGCCATCAAATTCACTGCTTGCAGTCTAATATTTAGTCGGGAATTTCTAAAAATCCGACTGTCATGTGTGCTTCCAGCCCATCGCACTACTATGTCCTGTATTTTTAAACAAGGATCACCAACAACCTGTACATTTATAGAAAAGTACCCTTTTCTGTTCCGATACTGTTCTGTATGCTCAATACCTCTTGGCTTACTTATTTTAATATGAGTACAGTCCAGTGCCCCTATAATATTCTTGAGGCCACCATATCTACCTATACGCCCCAGGTTTTCAAATTCATCCTTCACTCTCTTAAGGTTCCTTTCAGAATTTGGGAATCCTATAAAATTGTGCATCCGAGAGGCTAAGGCCCAACTTACTCTTTTTACAATATGACACACTGTTGATTGGGATATATTAATAAGATCTCCACATACTGCTTGAAAACTACCCGTTGCATAAAAACGTAATGCTGTGAGCAACTGGCATTCTGGAGAGATTGGAAGCCCTCTTTGAGTTTCGCACATTAATTCATTAATAATTAATGGCAAAATGACGTTCACTATGACACGTTTTGCGAAACTATATCTCCTTTTAAATTCATCTTCAGAGTACTCACGCAGAGGGTTTCTGTGGCGAACATATTCTTTGTTTAACCTCGGTGTATTCAACGCAACAGCAGCCACAACTTCATCTAAAGGATCACTGGTTACATTATCCAAAGATTCGAATAAATTTTCTATAGAATTCATGATGGTATTTTTACGCGTCACTTTCTCAGACCAAATAAACAACACGTTACCAATTCACGTAAAAGTCAAGCAGTTAACAACCTCAAAATCCATGATACAATGTCAAGTCAGCTGTCAAAACTATTACTTCGAGCCATTGGCCGATGCTTAAGTAATGAAAATGGTGACTAATGGTTTGCTGAGAATTCTAATGATTATTAGTTCTTACTTAAGAAGAATTCTTATCTATAAAACAAAAATGTTTGCTAAGTAATTACTTTTGCTCAAGCAATTACTTTTGCTCGACTATAAATACGAGTGTTATTCTTGTTGTTGATTCCATCCGGTCGTTTGTTATCCCATTACCTAACAATAATCATCGCAAATCATCGCCCCATTTATTAAAATTCTGCTAAAAATCGTTCAAAATTACTAAAAAATACACAATTTCATCGTTCAATACTCACCATTTCGTCTGCTTCAGAAACTTTTGTTGTCTTACGAGTGCTAGTGATCACCCTCACCTGCCTGTAGGTCGTTTCTCTTGATCACCAAGTTGTTCTGAAATCAGTAATTTAGTCTGAAAGTTTTCAAACAATTTACAAATTTCGGTTTCAGCCGTCGTTCTTTCATACTATCTTCAGTTTTCACCCTAGACTTTAATTATCCTAGAGTGCCTACAATATTCCCCGTCTAGTAGCGTAAAACCTAGGTCCGATTTCGGTCAATTTTCATTCTAAATTTCGGTCTAATCCAAAAAATCATAAGTTCGGTCTAAAACTTTGCTCCCCACCTAGAATATCCCTGACATCCCCGCACCACCACGCCTCGTCGGTTTACGGCACTCTCGTTTAATTCTAACATTTTTTTGAACAAAATATCAAACCCAGGTTACCTAAGAGGTTACATTTCATATTAAATATTCTTAAATTAAAATATCGTTTCTTCCAAATTGTGCCTAAGTAGTCGCAATCTTATTCTTGTTGTTGATTCCATCCGGTCGTTTCGTATCCCATTACCTAAGAGTAATCATCGCAAATCATCGCCCCATTTAGTAAAATTTTGCTAAAAATCGTTCAAAATTACTGAAAAATATACAATTTCATCGTCAATACTCACCATTTCGTCTGCTTCAGAAACTTATGTTGTCTTAGAGTGCTAGTGGTCACCTTCACCTGCCTGTAGGTCGTTTCTCTGGATCACCAAGTTGTTCTGAAATCAGTAATTTAGTCTGAAAGTTTTAAAACAATTTACAAATTTCGGTTTCAGCCGTCGTTCTTTCATACTATCTTCAGTTTTCACCCAAGACTTTTATTGTCCTAGGGTGCCTACAGTATCCCCCGTCTAGTAGCGTAAAACCTAGGTCAGATTTCGGTCAATTTTCATTCTAAATTTCGGTCTAATCCAAAAAATCAAAGTTCCGTCTAAAACTTTGCTCCCCCACCTAGAATTTCCCTGACTTCCCCGCACCGCCACGCCTCGTCGGTTTACGCCACTCTCGTTTAATTCTAACATTTTTTTGAAAAAATATCAAATATCAAACCCAGGTTACCTAAGAGGTAACACTTCATATTAAATATTCTTAAATTAAAACATCGTTTCTTCCAAATTGTGCCTAAGTAGTCGCAATCTTATTCTTGTTGTTGATTCCATCCGATCGTTTCGTATCCCAATACCTAATGCGATGATTACTCTTAGTAATCATCGCAAATCATCGCCCCATTTATTAAAATTCTGCTAAAAATCGTTCAAAATTACTAATATACAATTTCATCGTTCAATACTCACCATGTCGTCTGCTTCAGAAACTTTTGTTGTCTTAGAGTGCTAGTGATCACCCTCACCTGCCTGTAGGTCGTTTCTCTTGATCACCAAGTTGTTCTGAAATCAGTAATTTAGTCTGAAAGTTTTCAAACAATTTACAAATTTCGGTTTCAGCCGTCGTTCTTTCATACTATCTTCAGTTTTCACCCAAGACTTTTATTGTCCTAGGGTGCCTACAGTATCCCCCGTCTAGTAACGTAAAACCTAGGTACGATTTCGGTCAATTTTCATTCTAAATTTCGGTCTAATCCAAAAAATCATAAGTTCCGTCTAAAACTTTGCTCCCCCACCTAGAATTTCCCTGACTTCCCCGCACCGCCACGCCTCGTCGGTTTACGCCACTCTCGTTTAATTCTAACATTTTTTTGAAAAAATATCAAATATCAAACCCAGGTTACCTAAGAGGTAACACTTCATATTAAATATTCTTAAATTAAAACATCGTTTCTTCCAAATTGTGCCTAAGTAGTCGCAATCTTATTCTTGTTGTTGATTCCATCCGATCGTTTCGTATCCCAATACCTAATGCGATGATTACTCTTAGTAATCATCGCAAATCATCGCCCCATTTATTAAAATTCTGCTAAAAATCGTTCAAAATTACTAATATACAATTTCATCGTTCAATACTCACCATGTCGTCTGCTTCAGAAACTTTTGTTGTCTTAGAGTGCTAGTGATCACCCTCACCTGCCTGTAGGTCGTTTCTCTTGATCACCAAGTTGTTCTGAAATCAGTAATTTAGTCTGAAAGTTTTCAAACAATTTACAAATTTCGGTTTCAGCCGTCGTTCTTTCATACTATCTTCAGTTTTCACCCTAGACTTTAATTATCCTAGAGTGCCTACAATATTCCCCGTCTAGTAGCGTAAAACCTAGGTCCGATTTCGGTCAATTTTCATTCTAAATTTCGGTCTAATCCAAAAAATCATAAGTTCGGTCTAAAACTTTGCTCCCCCACCTAGAATATCCCTGACATCCCCGCACCACCACGCCTCGTCGGTTTACGGCACTCTCGTTTAATTCTAACATTTTTTTGAACAAAATATCAAACCCAGGTTACCTAAGAGGTTACATTTCATATTAAATGTTAGATGTGGCAATGTTACACATTGATATATTGTATAGTTGGTCAGCTTGTGTTCCATTATTGTTATGTTGGCAGCGTTCGTTCATTCAATGTTCATTCAATTCGTTCTCTCTCTGATTTGTACGGATGTTAGTTACTAAAATATTACTTACTTGTTTTATTAATTAAATAAAAGTTCTATCATAATTACTGCGTTTAAATATAAACATCAGGTTATGGGCCCAGACACATAACCCTGCTTGTTATTGTAGTAAATAACGCGAACACAAAAGTTAATAATCGACGGGAAGAAAAGTGAGGTTATCCGGCTATCACACGTGGCTAATATCGTCAAGAAGGTATACTTGTACGTCGCACGCAAGTAAGGTCGGAAAGGATGGATAATAATATCATAAATAACACCGTAGTTAAGTTGGAAGGTGCTAGAAATTGGAACACGTGGAAATTCCAAACCATGGTACTGATGCGTGGCTATGGTTGGCTGGACATAATAGAAGGAAGGAGTATAAAGCCTAAAACTAGTGATGAACTAACAGCTTGGGAGGTGAAGGACGCTAAAGCACAGACTCTGATAGTCACGAGGTTGTCCGAGGATTCCATATTACATGTACTTACATGTACCAGCTCCTATGAAATGTGGAGGAAACTTCAAAGTGTTTATGAACAGAAAACAGCAACTAGTGTTCATATAGTACAATAGAGATTCTTTTAATATAAATATGAAACGGGGTCAGATATGTCAATTTTTCTATCTAAAATTCAAGAAATGCAAAACACGTTAAAACAGTTGGGAGAAAATGTTTCTGATAAATTAGTCATTACTAAAATACTGATGACATTGCCAGATGAATACAGGCATTTTGTATCTGCTTGGGAGTCGGCTCCGGACGATAAACAGACTATTGATAACTTGGTGGCAAGGTTATTGATCGAAGAAGAAAGAATCAAAGAAAAGAGTGAATCACAGCAAACAGCATCATCATCTGCTTTTGTTGTAAAGAATAAAAGGCTTGTGAAGTGTTTCAAATGTGGCAAAAATGGGCATTTTCAAACGGAGTGCAGAAGCTACAAAAATAATGGTGAATCAAACATGACCAGTAATCAAACTAACAATAACTGTTTTTATTGTAGAAAGTTTGGTCATTTTAAGGCGCAGTGTCGGTTTAGAAAACAAAAGTAAGTCTGATAATAGTGACAAAATTAAATCAAAAAGTAATGCATTTATAGTGTCAAACTCATCACAGGAAACTCATAAATCACAGTGGTTAGTGGATTCTGGCGCCAGCGAACACATTTGTAATGATCTGTGGGGATCAATGGCATAGTAGCCATTTTTAGTTCGAAAAACGGATTTAGATGGCGTCATTGGTATCGAATGGAATTCAACATTGTTTTGTAATCGTTTAAAACCCAAAACTATGTTTTTAAAAAGGTTTAATCTATTTTTAAAAAGTCATATATAGATGTTAAAATGAAATAATGCGTTTTGAAAAGTAATTTTCATATATTTACTCATTTTGTTGTTGCCCTGTATTTGTTTACAATTTAATCATTGCTAATTGGGGCTTATTGTTTCCAAAATACTTTCATAGATGGCGCTGTTTTCATTTGTATCACCGTATTTTAAATGTTTATTTTATATTTTCAAATAATAAGTACTTACTATATTATTATGATAAATTAAACATAAAAAAAGTTTAAGTAAATATAAAACAGCTAAACAAGAAAACCATATTATTCCAGTAATACTTATTTAGAAAGTGTTGCCATATTAAAAATAAATGCATAGATTTATCGATTTTTTCGAATAATCGATAACAGGATATTACAACGCATTATTCGATGGTGCTTTTAATTAGTCTTTGCAAACAGTAAAATTTCATCATTTTGTATTATACTCTTATTTGGAACGAATTGCAATGCATAATTTTTACTCGACGACGGCAAAATAGAGATTTTGACAGGTATGCAAGTACTATTGTCAGATATATCAACTTTATGTACTAGTAAAAGTATGTGTTATAATGAAATAACAACTATATAACATTAATTTAACTATGTCTTTAACACAATTCACTTTAGCAATTAAAATACAACCAGCACATCCTGTGCTCAAGGACCGAATGCCGCGGCTTACAAAAACCCTCCCTTTTATACAGAGAAGATATGAGTGGGGGTTATATGCAACTAGTTTAACGATACCGAGTAATAATGAAACTACCTTCTTTTAATATAAAATATCAGATTTTTCGAAAATATCCATGCGAACCCTAACAATCGACCATCCTGACAATGTGTGCGTCCTCGCACACGATGCCTGGTGCAACCCTAACAATCGGAGTTTTGTGAGCCACGACATTATCACCACAAATTAATGAAACAGACTAAAAAAAAAATGTGCAAGTACAATAATCATAGAAAAATGAGATCGAAATTAATTAATTAATTAAAATCAGGCAGTTAATGCCCATATTATAAACACCCTACAGACCAACATACGTATGAATAATATAATTATAAGAAAGAAATATAAATTGTCTGTGTGATCACGGCACTGATGATGGTAATCTGCCACGGCAGCGCCGATAGACCACACCCTTCGGCCAGCAGTCCCCCCTCATGAAGGTGGTCAGCATGTTGGTGGGAACTCGTACCACAAACGCCTTGAGACTCGCGCTGACTCCACTCCAGCCGCGCCACCCTCAATGTCAGGTCACTCCTGGTCCGTATGTAGTCGACAGTGTCCTGCTCCTTAAACTTACTTAATTACTCAACCTATTATAAATTATAAAAAATACATATAGAATATAAAAAATATAAACTCATATAGAAAAGTCAATCTATGAACATAATTAGATGTGTAAACAACTGTTTATAATTCATTAGAACGAAATTAATATATTACATAAACTTCAACACCATAAAATATTTACGAATCTCGATTAATTAGTCTACCTTTTATTAATTATAACAAATACATGACATGTGTATACAACTGTTTATAATACATTAGAACAAGATGAATATATCAGGTAAACTTATACACTTGTATACAATACTATAAAATATTGACTAATATCTAGAAATCGAATTTTATATTATCTGTAAAAGAACCATCTATTAAAAGGCATTTATGATCCGAACCATCGATTAATCGGAAAACGAACATTTACAGGCATTGCTGGACCGATCAAATATCCAGCGCAGCCAATAACTGGAACGATCGATTATCCAGAGCATCTATTTACTGGAACGATCGATTATCCAGCGCATCTATTTACTGGAACGATCGATTATCCAGCGTAGCTATTTACTGGAACGATCGATTATCCAGGCAAGCTGTCCCACTAATTCATCGATTTATTTGTGAGATTTCATTAGACATCGACTAATATAGAATACTCTATTCTATATCTTCTTATACCATTCGAAGCAAATATGGTCAACAGCTTCAACGCTCGATGCTCTCGTAAAAACGGAACACCAATCAGACAATCCAATAATTACAGACAGTCGATCTGAAACAATAATTACAGGTGTAGTTAATATCAGTATTACTAAATTTCAAGAACATTCTCGGCGATCATAAAAACTATGTATCCTAATTCATCACTCCCACTAGTAGTATCATTGTTCACTTTTAGAGCAATATTGTGAATACACGTCAGCATCTGATCTGCGGCAACAGTCGGCTCTTACTTTTGGGCTTGCTAAAACAACTTAGAACATGTGGTACTACTTATTTACATTCTATATGCTATTATAAAGTAGTTTATTATCCATGCTTATAAACCAGCTCGTCCACACTGACTACGAATATCTACTATCGTCAAAACTGGATACCATAGATTACATCCGCAAAAGAATCCTTGATAGTTTTAACTTCACAACTCAACACGTTCTAAGTGCAATAATAGCTTACCATGTCACATGTTCGTATTAAGGGAATGTTGTGCCCTTCCTTATCATATAAGTAACACTTGTATACATATATCTATCATTCTTTTACTATCACTGGGTTCTTGGCGTATTCATTTTTCTTTTCATTGTGTGACGTCATACACTCCCATCGGTCACAATTATACCATTTATATGTTAAATAGGTCCTTCCATGTATTATTTACACCCGTAAATATGAATCTTCAATTCGACAATCTTTTCAATCATTGCTATTTATATAAATTTCCTTTTCTTCCTATATATTAAACATTGCGCTTGTGAATCACTGTTCACCCCAGGACATACGGACATGTCATTTTCAATCCTAGTTACATGTGCAATGATTAACTGGCATTAATAACATTACATAGGTATTCCTGACACATCTATACGAAGTCGCCATGCATCTTTACAGTACAGTAGATTCATAGAATATAATCGGAAGCTCCGCAAAAGCAAAGAAGTGCTATCTTCATAATACCAACTTACTCCGGCCTTATCCCAGCTATTTAGCGGTTGTATTTGGTGGGAAACAATTTCTATACACCGGAAAACTGATGTAGCCTATTAATAGTCACATTGCCAAGGTCATCATAAAATTTTCCAGAATATTCAAATCTCTTTCATAATAATCTTTTCTGTCTGTGTATCATAATTGTGCCTCAATAACAATTTCAAAGCTTATGTACTTTGTCTTCCACAGAATCTATTTAATAATAAACTAATTTATATACCGAAACTTTATTAGTAAGATCATAAAATATATTACATTCCTGAAACAAACTGTTGCGTACGAATATATAAATAGTAAGCTACATCAACCTGTTAACAATAGGTACTATCCGATTTATCTTTTCTCCTCTAATTTCACAATATCATAGTTTACATGTCTTCGCTTAATTCTCTCCCGGCTGTCCGTACCTACATACATCAAAAAGCACTAAGCACTCGTTTCTTTCCAATATCCCATAATAATATCTGAAATATAAATTCTACCATCCAAATACGAGTATCACAATTCTAGACCGCACTGTTTGAAATAAGTCAAGACGAGTTCATTATTCACTCATGAACACTTTAAATCAGTAATCGTCATCTTGTATATATTTATGTATTGTATAATTGTAAATTTATTGTAATTCAATAATATATTCCTCCCTTATTTTTTTTTTAAATTATTTTTGCACACCTAATTGCAGAAGACAGTGAAACATGTTATTTCTTCAAAGATTTTTGTTACCTGTACTTCACAAGTAAATAATTGAATTTGAACATTTTGTTAAAATAAGGTAGATGTAATAATAGTGTTATACTTTTTGTATTAAGATTGAATGTTGTTGGCTAATAAATTCTAATTTAATAAGTACTCGACTAAGTCTAATTTAATAAGTGTCGACTACAAAATATAAAACAACAACCTTTACCTATAATAAACTACTGGCAATTTTCTTTTTATTACATTATATTACAATGTTAAAAATTGGATTGATTACTGTTTAATAACTGACAGCTGTTTTAAATGCATTTAAAGAGTTAACTGTAGGAAATCAGACGTTCAGAATTTATAAACGTGTTTAGCGAAATTTGTAGTGGTGAAATGCAAAATGAAGCTTTGAACACGTTTAAATATTTTAATGGTGTTCAGTTCGAACTAAACGTGATCAGTTTCTTTGGTGAAATCCGACCTTAATTACTAAACAATTATAGCGAGGTAAATAGTGAGTTACTGCATCTCTTGCACTAGTTTGCGACTAACAAACATGGATCAAACTTTGAGAAAACAAAACGTGTTCTCCTTGGTTCTCATTTCAATACCAATACAAATTTACCAACGAATCTCTAGACTTTATAGAGTCTATTGTTATTCCAGAAACGATATGGGACAAAGTTACCTAGATACATCAAAATAATAATTGCATTTGACAATGTCTAGTAAGACAAATTCAATATTGTGTACTAAGCACTGCTGTGTCTAAACTGTGTCACCCCACCTTACATTTTCCTATTGTCATTTAGTATATAAGATCAATATTTTTATGTACACATTGTCAGTCTATTATCATCTGTAGTATACATCATCTCAATAGACAACATCGTATTATTACCCCGCAACACAAGTCATTAGCTTATACAGTACACAAGGTTAGATAATATATCAATTCTAAGATATAGTCTATATTCGTTACTACCACAATCTATTATCTTACGGAATATTATTATTGGAGAAAAGCAGCCGATTTC